ATGTGGAGCACAGGCACATGCTCATGTGGAGCACAGATGCACATGCAGGTAAAACACTCTTACACATAAAATAACATAAATTAAAAAAATTAAAAATCTCTCTCTACACACGTGCGTGAGTGTGCACACACACACACAAATACACACACAGAGGGAGTTGAAAATGAATTCCCATGTCCCGTCCCCAGTCCCTAATTCAGGATATGACATGTGAAGATAATAAATGAAGGACAGATGGATGGAGTCGCCGTGACCTGCCAGTGCTGAACTACACCCAGGAAGAAGTGTGAGCAGAAGCAATAACGACACTGCGGTGGGTAGGGACCCTCTGTAGAAGAGGCCACCTGCCTCTTTGCTGAAACTCCCCAACCTCCCTTTGTGGGAGGAAGGACTCAGAAAGACCTCCTCAGATTTTATCCATGCCTGTGGAGTCCCAGTGGTGAGGAAGCTTAGGCTGGATGGAGTACCACACACCATGGTACTCTGAAAGCCAGGCAGTATGGCACTTGATCACACAGGAGCAAGAGGAAAATGCTTAGCCTAAAGAACACTTTTCTGGGCTGGAGAGATGGCTCAGTGGTTAAGAGCATTGCCTGCTCTTCCAAAGGTCCTGAGTTCAATTTCGGGCAACCATATGGTGGCTCACAACCATCTGTAATGAGGTCTAGTGCCCTCTTCTGGCCTGCAGACATACACACAGACAGAATATTGTATACATAATAAATAAATAAATAAATAAATAAATAAATAAATAAATAAATAAGTATTTTTTTAAAAAAAAAGAACTTTTCCTCCTCTGGGTACTAGCGCCCTCTGCTGGCATGGAGGAGAAAGGCAGTGCCGGCTACAGGCCTCCTCTGGTGGCTCTCTCTTTCCGGATCCCCACTCGTCCCACGCACTACTAACTCTCCTTGCCTCCCATCACTGATCACAGACAGAAAGATCTAGTATAAACTGTGCCTTGGATCTTTGGGATGCACCATAATTGTGATTGTTTGAGCCACAGTGGGAATTCTGCCACTCCTCCCCTAGCGGTAGGTCCATATCCTTAAAAGACAAATCACTGTCCTGTGATTGCCCCACAACAGAGGGGTAGACCCCAAGGCCAGGTCATAAAGCATTTGGTCACCACTTACTGGTGGCAGGAATCATGAAAACAGGAAAGCACTATAGATCTTGGCCATGTCCGGGGCCTTGGGCAAACTGTCTCACAGTCGGACCTCTCCACTCTCTGCACTGCTGGACTGGACCATCTCCCACCAGTGCCTCTATGCCTAGGCTGAAAGATAGTGTTACAAACTGTGTCCTCCCAGGTCCTTGGCTTGGCCTTAGCACCCTGCCTGCATGTTGGGATGCAGAGAGGTGAGCATCCTGAGAGGACCACAAGGGTAGGCCAGCAGAACTGGAGTCTGTAGCAACAGGCAGGCTCAGGCTAGGCTCCACCGAGGACTGGCTATGTAAGGCCACACTGGAGAGGTACCCAGGCAACCTCTGAGCTTGTCTCTGCCTCCTCTAGAACCAGAAACAACAGAGGCCAGTTGCCGAATGTGCCTAACGGTCGGATTCCACTGTGGCCTCCTAAGGAGACTGTAAGATTATCTGCTAAGGGCTGCAATGATGTTCTGTCAGTAAAGTGCTTGTTTGCAGCACGAGAATTTGACTGCGGGAACAGGAGAGGACAGAAACCTCAATCAACACATATGTCTGCAATTCCAGTGCCTTTATGGGGAGCTGGGGGGTGGAGAATTGGCCAGAAGCTCCACCATCCAGCCTGCAGTATACAACACTGCAGGAACAAATGACCCTGCTTCAACACAGCAGAAGGCAAGAAATGACCTCCAAACGTTGTCCTCTAACCACACATGCCTGCACCCTCACAAATACACACCCACACAATAATAAATAGTAATATACACAATAAATAATAATAGTAGTAAACTTTATTTTAAAAATGTATAGTTGCCAGGCATGTATAGTAAACCCAGCACTCAGGAGGCAGAAGCAGGAGGATCTCTGAGTTCAAGGCCAGCCTTATTCACATAGCAAGTTCCAGAATAGACAGGAATACACATTAGAGAAATCTTGCTTCAGAAAACAAAAACAAGGGCTGGAGAGATGGCTCAGTGGTTAAGAGCATTGCCTGCTCTTCCAAAGGTCCTGAGTTCAATTCCCAGCAACCACATGGTGGCTCACAACCATCTGTAATGAGGTCTGGTGCCCTCTTCTGGCCTGCAGACATACATACAGACAGAATATTGTATCCATAATGAATAAATAAATAAATAAATAATTTTTAAAAAAAATGGATAGCACCCAAAGGAATAACACCCAAGGTTGTCCTCAGGCCTCCATACCCCACACTCAAGGGGAAAAGAAGGAATTCTAACAGGTTTCCAGTTAAGCTTTTAATTCTATTTTTGTTCATTTTGTTTAATTTTGTCTTAGAAGTAAAGGGGAGCAAAGCCAGTGCCCCACATGTAAGGTAAACATCCAACCACTGAGCTACACCCCAGCCCAATTAAAAAGATTTTTTAAAGATAGGGTCTCATTATTTAGCTCTGACCGGTTTGAAACTCACTACTTAGACCAGGCTAGCCTTAAGCTTGTATAGCTCTTCCTGCCTCTGCTTTCCCAGTGCTAGGATCACAGACATGTGACACTATTCCTGGTCAAATCTAAAACTGGAGGAAGAAAATAACTGTAGTGTAGAAAAGTGATTAGCGGGGCTGAAAAGATGGCTCAGGGTTTAAGCACATATACTGTCCTTGCTGAGGTCCGAGCACCCAAGTCAGGTGGCTGATGACTGCCTGGAACCCCAGTCCACACAGACACACACACACACACACAATTAAAAACAAAAAGTAAAATGTACAGGCAGGAGAGACGGCTCAGCCGTTAAGACACTGGCTGCTCTTCCAGAGGAACTGGATTCAATTCCCAGCACCCACATGGAGGTTCAGGCATTATGCTGGCCTGTCACCTGGCAGGATGCACCAGGCAGTATCTGGGCCAGCACAGGGTCCTATGACCGCTATGCCACTACACAGTCTGTAGGCAGGTGCAAAAGATTCCTTTAAGAGATAAGCCATTAAAGGCCAGGCTCACAACCAAAATATAAGAGATAAGCTCTGCCCATTTCAAGCTCTTTCTGAAGAGGCAGCAGGTCTTTGCCTCTGTCTGTCTGTCTGTCTCTCTCCTCTCTCCTCTCCTCTTCTCTTCCACCACTCTATCCCCAGAGGCTGGTCTCTTCCCTTCCCTTCCCCCGCTCTCAATAAACTCTCCACTTAAGTTCCGTCTGCACGGCGTTATTTATCTCTCTCTCCTGCCATGTCGGTCCCTCTCTCAAAGCTCATTCAGCAGAGAAAAGCGGGTAGCAAGTACTGGAGGCAGAGACAGAAACTTGAGTGAGGCCTCAGAAGAACACCAAAGCAGTCAAGCCTATGGAGAAGGGGTAGGATGGGTGCCAGGATCAGGGGAACTCAAACGGTACTTTCATCCAAATAGACACACAAAGCCATAACAACAACCTAAAGTGACTGTTTGGGGCAGATCTGGGGACACCATATTCAGCCAACCTTACCAAGACAGGGAAGCTGCATCTTATCCCTCAGTCATTGTCCTCCAAAGAAGAGCAGGAGCGAGGGACGGGTGCGGAACCTGATGGGAGGAGGGAGGCCACAGAGGTCTGAGTGAGAGGCTGGGGTGGGGGTGGGGGAGAAGACAGAGGGATCCCCACTCAGGGGCCTCCTTCTGGATATGCAAGGGCCCCCAGGAGTCCTGAAGGGAAAAGGCATGGTAACACGGTTCCCCAACCTTCATTCTCTTTCACCATTAGGTACCAGCTAATGCCAGTTGGCGGGACTTGGGGTGTATTTTTATTCTTAGAAGCATCTCCATTTCTCCAGACTCCATACAAAATATTACTTTAATTAATAACCAATAATCAATTTTTTATTGATATTTATTGAGCTCTACATTTTTCTCTGCTCCCCTCCCTGCCTCTCCCCTCCCCCCTTCTGCCCTCCCCCAAGGTCCCCATGCTCCCAATTTACTCAGGAGATCTTGTCTTTTTATACTTTCTACTTCCCACGTAGATTAGATCTATGTAAGCCTCTCTTAGTGTCCACATTGTTGTCTAAGTTCTCCGGGATTGTGGTTTGTAGGCTGGCTTTCTTTGCTTCTTGTTTAGAAACCACCTATGAGTGAGTACATGTGATAATTGTCTTTCTGTGTCTGGGTTACCTCACTCAAAATAATGTTTTCTAGCTCCATCCATTTGCCTGCAAAATTCAAGCTGTCTTTTTTTCTGCTGTGTAGTACTCCATTGTGTAAATGTACCACATTTTTCTTACCCATTCTTCAATCGAGGGGCATTTAGGTTGTTTCCAGGCTCTGGCTATGACAAACAATACTGTTATGAACATAGTTGAGCACATGTCCTTGTGGCACAGTTAAGCATTCTTTGGATATATACCCAAAAGTGGTATTACTGTGCTTTGAGGAAGGTTGTTTCCTAATTTTCTGAGAAATCGCCATACTGACATCCAAAGGGGTTGTACCAGCTTGCATTTCCCCAATAATCAATCTTTTAAAAAACTTTCCATTTTGGGGGCTGGAGAGATGGCTCGGAGGTTAAGAGCATTGCCTGCTCTTCCAAAGGTCCTGAGTTCAATTCCCAGCAACCACATGGTGGCTCACAACCATCTGTAATGGGGTCTGGTGCCCTCTTCTGGCCTGAAGGCATACACACAGACATAATAAATAAATAAATATTTTTAAAAAACTTTCCATTTTATGTATATGCATGTTTTGCCTGTATATATGTCTGTGTAACACACGTGTGCCTGGTACCTATGGAAGCCGAATGAGGACACTGAATTCCCGTGGACTGAAGTCACAGATGGTTGTGAGAGCTGTATGCGAGTGCTGGGAATGGAATCCAGGTTCTCTGCAAGAACAGCCAGTGCGCTTGACTGCTGAGTCTTCTCTCCAGCACTCGATTATCAGTCCTTTGCCAGGTGAGGGAGGCATACACCTTTAATCCCAGCACTCAGGAGGCAGAGGCAGGGAGACCTCAAGTGAGGCCAGCCTGGTCTACAAGAGCAAATTCCAGGACAGCCAGGGCTATACAGAGACCCTTGTTTGGGGAGGGGGGGAGGAGTAAAGCAAAAAGAAAAAAAAGAAGAGGAGGAGAAAGAGGTGAGGAGAAAGAAATGGGGGGGGATGCTGAAGTGATGGCTCAGTAGCTAAGAGCATTTACTACTCTTATAGAGGACTGGAGTTCAGTTCCCAGCACCCATATCAGGCCTCTTCTAGATGCCTGTAACTTGGATTCAGGGGATCCAATGCTCTCTTCTGACCTATGCGGGCACCTACATACATGCATACACACACACACACAGACATATTACCTACATACATGCATGCACACCCACACAGACATATCACCTACATACATTCACACACACAGACATATTATCTACATACATGCATGTGCATGCACACCCACACAGACATATCACCCACATACATGCACGCACACCCACACACAGAGACACATCACCTACATACATGTGCGCACACCTATACACGGACATATCACCTATATACATGCGCACACACCCACACACAGACATATCACCTACATGCATGCAACCACAAAGACCTGAGTCCAGCCCCCTTGCCCTCCCGTCTTCCTGAAACAGGCCCACAAGTTTAGCCCAGGCTGACCTCGAACTCACAATCATCCTGCCTTCATCTCCTCCACGCTAAGATGACTTGGGTACACACCACAGCCTGATCCTCAACACACTTTTCACCCAGATAAACTACCTGGCAAATCCCAACCCCACCCAGACCTGCTGTCCACAGTCTCTGAGCCCAACCCATACTGATGCACGATTAATAAAAACCCAGAGAAACTGAGGTTCAGTCTGAAGATCTGGGAAGCAAATTAACTGGCCACTGGCTCTTACTTTAACCTCAGTCCCAAATGGCCATCCTGCCTCCAGAAATTTCAGAATGAGACTGTGTCTGAGAACTGTCTCTCCCATTTTATAATCCTCTCTATTTCTGGGATTAAAGGCATGCACCGCCCGGCTTCTATGGCAAGTTACTGTGGCTACTGGAATTAAAGGTGTGCACTACCACTGCCTAGTCTGTAAGGCTGGGGGGGGGGGGACGGGTGCTGTTTTACTCTCTGATCTTCAGGCAAGCTTTATTTATTCAAATACAAATGAAATGCCACTACACCTGAGTCCTGCCAGACAATCAGCCTCTGCCACCGACAGGGCTTCCAATCTGGGGTGAGGGATCTGCGGGGACACTCCACGGTAAGTCACACAACCCGCTGCCTTCCCTGAAACGTACCTACTGCCCCTAGCTCTGTCCCTAGTCCTTGATTGGCAAGGTCATTATCAGGCAGTTCACCCACCTGTGTTCCTAGAGTTCTTTTTCGCATCCCATCCGATCGTACTGGCTCTACTTTCCAGGAGGCTCAGCTCACCAGCTCCCCTCTGGGAGCCTCCTGGATGTCCTGACCTCTCCCTGTCCAGCCAGTATCTTCTGACCTGTGGGCAACCAGCCTAGCTCTATGGGCTCCTCCGTAAGACTCCAGCCCCTGACACAGAACAGGCACCAAAAAAGGGCTCAATTGAATTTCTGCAATTCCAAGTCTCTACTCCATTGTTACTTTAACCCTCAATTGTAGTCTTAACGCAAAGCCCCGGCTCATGTAATTAAAACGACCACTGCGCTCTTGAAGGAGTGACGAAAGCCAGGGCTGCTTGCAGGGTCACAAAACCCCAAGCTCAACTCCAAGACCCGTACTAGCCCGTTTGAGACCTACAGACTCCCCGCTCCGCCCACGTGGTGAGCTCATCTAGGTTCCTCCCCTTAGACCGGGGATTCGGGGACCTGACCCTCTCTGCTACGTTCTGCGCAGGCCCGAGTCTTAGGCTCCACCCCGCCCCCAGTCTGACTGTCCTCTCCGGCGGAACCTGACCAACCATGGTGAATTTGGGCCTGTCTCGAGTGGATTACGCAGTGGCCGCCAAGCACCCGGTGAGAAGGCTGGCCTGGGGTGCTGGATCTAGTTCTCAGCAGCTGACCTGAAGCAGTCTACAGGCAGGGGGTGCTCCTTCATGGAGTGGCGGAGCGGGGACCCTCCTGCCTTGGGGATAGAGACGCTGAAGGAGTTTAGGAGAGGATGGGATATATCCGGTCCCCAGGGTCCCTCTCCAAACCAGGTCACGCCCAAAGGATGAGCAGGAGGGGAGGAAAGGGAACTGAGCCATGAACACCACTACCTCCATCCCAGGGGCTCGAGGAATATGCCGCGTGCCAGTCAAACGCCTTCATGAAGGGCGTTTTCACCTTTGTCACAGGTAGGCTGGCTCCAGGGATTTTGGGACACAAAAAGAACACACCTTAAAGGGGAAAAAAAACTGTATCCTACTGTCCCGCCCTGTCTGTCCACAAGGTGGCGCCACGTCATCTTGCCTGCACTGCAGGTGCAGTGGACACTGAGACCATCACCTTGCAGGCTGACCAATGGTTTCTTGGCCCTCGGCAGGCACTGGTGTGACTTTCGGCCTGCAGCTGTTCATTAAGCGGAAGTTTGCATACCCCGTGCAGTGGAGCTTGCTGGTGTCTGCTAGTGAGTACTCCGTAGTGGGTACCATCCTGGGCCCTGAAATGCATCCATTGCCAGGGACTCGTCAATGTTAGTGTGTTTCCGATGAAGACCCGACTGTGATCCAGCTCCACCCTGTCTGCCCAGAAGTAGCTTGTGCCAGGTCCCCTTGTAAAACATGCAGGGGCTAAGGCCCCCCAGCTCACCACCCTCCTGCTGCCCGCCCTCCAGTTGTAGGATCTGTGGCCAGCTACAAAGTGACAAAAACGGAGTCTCAGAAATGCAGAGATCTCTGGATCTTCCTGGAGACAGGTCGACTCCCCAAAGACATGAACACAGGTGAGAGGGCCCCAAAGGGGCAGCTAGACGTTTCAGGAAGATGAGCTCACGGGACTCAAGTGATAGACTGGTCCCTTCCCTCCAGCTAGTCTTGCTTCCCCCTGAGGGGCTGAAGCTAGAAGCCTCAAGAACAACAAAGACTGAGCAGGGTGTTCCCTGGAGGAGGAGCTAGGAAACTAGGGTGACCCTGAGACAGAGGGAAGGGCCTTGTAAGGTGTGGGACAGGGCACAGCAGTTAGCCCAACAACTCAGAAGAGTGTCTAGGACTGAGACCCTGAATCTGATACCAAGTTGGTGGGCCTCAGGCCTGCGTGTCCTTGTTACAGAACTCAGGTGTTTTTGTTTTTTTGTTCTTCTGAGAAAGGGTCCATCACCCAGGCTGGCCTTGAATCCCTGCTTCCACCTCCTAGGCTTGGGATTATAAGTCTGTTTAACCACATCTGACAGGAGCTCTGTTTTTCTCATGATAGAACAGGATCAGGACCCCTCAAAAACCAGACATAGGCCAGGCGGTGGTGGTGCATACCTTTAATCCCAGCCTTTGGGAAGCAGAGGCAGGTGAATCTCTGTGAGTTCGAGGCCAGCCTGGTCTACAAAGCAAGTTCTAGGACAGCTAGGACTGTTACACAGAGAAACCCTGTCTCAAAAAATAAAAAAAATAAATAAATAAATAAATAAATAAAAAAAAAACAGAAAAACCCACAGATGTGAATCCAGCTGTCTCCTTTTGCCTCCTACAGATCATCACAACTAGACGAGCTCTGGCTGCTTAGGGTGTGGAGGATCTGAAGAGGGGAATCCTGGAACACAGACTGCGAACTAACTCCAGGCTGGTCCTTCCTACCTCGCCAAACACATGCACACACGCTCTTGAGTATCACCTGTCCCCCACAAGTGTGTTTAGGCAGGCCTGCCTGACAACCAATTCTAGGACTCGCCCAGGAGTTCAGCTCAGAAAAGGGCTTGGAAGACAAGTGGTGGGGGTGGGGTGGGGGGGTATCCTCCAGAGCAGCAAGAAGTCAGGGTCTCAGAGAGGGTTGTATCCTGTTGCTCACAGCTGTGGGGGCAGCAGCCTGCACGTGGCGAGAGAGACTTCTCTATTTTCTCTGGTGCTTTGGGTTCCCTCTTCTGACCTCTATGCCCCGAGTCGAAGGAGAATTGCGGAAGGTTCTAACTAATAAACGGCTTGTCCTTTTCCTACCTGAGCTCTGAAGCAATTAAACCAGTTGGTGAGGTTGTTCCGTGGGTAGAGTGCCTGCTGCTAAGCCTGCTGACTGAGTTTAATCCCCAAGAACCACGTGGTGGGAAGAGTAACAACTAATCTCTATTGTGGTGTGTGGGTTCCCCTTACACATGCACAGGCACACACAAAAGAAATACCGGTGTAGGGGCTGGAGAGATGACTCAGTGGTTAAGAGCACTGACTGCTCTTTCCAGAGGTCCTGAGTTCAATTCTCAGCAACCACATGGTGGCTCACAGCCATCTATAATGAGACCTGGCGCCCCCTTCTGACTTGCAGGCACACATGGAAGGAATGCTGTACACATAATCAATCAATAAATTTTTTTTTTTTTAAAAAGAGAAAGAAAGGGCTGGAGAGATGGCTCAGAGGTTAAGAGCATTGCCTGCTCTTCCAAAGGTCCTGAGTTCAATTCCCAGCAACCACATGGTGGCTCACAACCATCTGTAATGGGGTCTGGTGCCCTCTTCTGGCCTGCAGGCATACACACAGAAAGAATATTGTATACATAATAANAGGCAGACGCAGGCAGATCTCTGAGTTTGAGGCCAGCCTGATCTACAGAGCAAGTTCTAGGACAGCCAGGGCTACACAGAGAAACCCTATCTCAAGAAAAAACAAACAGGCAGATCTCTGTGAGTTCGAGGCCAGCCTGGTTTACAGAGCGAGTTCCAGGACAGCTAAAGCTACAGAGAAACTCTGTCTCCAGAAAATAAAAACGAACAGAATGTAAGGGGTGAGATGTGATCATGCCCTTTTGTGGCTGTACGGCTTATCTTGGAGGATATGCAGAAGTTCCAAATGTAGAGCCCCAGAACTGGATGTTCCTTCCAGCCATCTGGGCCATGTATTTACACCAATGCCTATCCTCTGGAAGTCTACCAGAGGAGCAGAACAGAGGTAGAAGCAGTCAGAGGCCAGGTAGGGGCATGAGTTGTGCCCACCTGCTTGGCATCAGTGAAGCCCCTTCTCCAAGAAGGAACAAGCATCAAAGCTCCAAAGGAAATGTCTTGGGGAGGAAGGAGACCACCCACACCAACGAGCCCTGTTTAAAAAACAACAACAACAAACAAACAGAGATTGTCCCAACCTTGGTATCCCAGGAGCACAAAGACTTGGCCTTGGCCAGCTCCTGCACCTCTACTGAGCTTGTCAATTGGACGTCTGTGGGAACAAATCAGTGGGCAGAATTGCAGCAGGTCTCTCATAGTCCAAGCTTGAGCCAAGTTAGTTTTCTTATAGAAACCGAGGTAGATGGTCTATCAGTGCCTGTGCTGTTGCCAACAACATACCACAGACTTGGGCAGATTGTAATTTTTTTAAAAAAATGTTTTGTTTTGTTTTTCCAGACAGGGTTTCTCTGTGTAACGGGTCCTAGCTGTCCTGGAACTTGTTTTGTAGACCAGGCTGGCCTTGAACTCACAGAGATCTGCCAGCCTCTACCTGCCCAAGAAAAAAAAAAAAAAAAACACTTGTTTTAACCCTCGGTTCTGGAGGCCAAAGGTCCAGCAGCCACCTGGTGGTGGCTGTCATTCTGGCAGAGTCCAGAAACATCACAGGTCATCACACGGTCAGAAACAGCATACGATACGTGTTGCTTCCTCTTCCTATAAAGCCATCGAGTTTTGACCATGGTGGCTCTACCCTGGTAACTTAAATTCTAATAATCTCTCAGAAGCCCTACCTGAAGGACACAGTCCTGTTTCCTACCCTCTTAAAACCTCACACTGGGGTGGGGTATAAACTCCAGCATGAGCTTTCACTTTGGAGGACACGCCATCTTCAATCCCCGGCAGTGTTTTAAGAGCTCTTCTGGGGGTCAGGGACCCAGGCGTCCTTCAGTCTCTTTCCTGTTCCAATCTAGCTCATCATGCCGGGTGGCTCCACCAGCTCCAGACACTGCGTCATCATCCCATTTAACAGAAGGAAAAGGGGGGGGAGGACTTCTTCTGCCGTGTCTGTATACACAGCACTGGCCAGAACTAAGTCACACGGTTCATCAACTGGAAGGAAACCCTTCAGGAAGGCAGCCTTACTCTGGATAGCCATTTATTTGCTCCACTAAAATTCAGGAGTTCTTTATCTGAGGGAAAAGAAAGAGCCAATCTAAGGGGCTATAATTTGACTCTGCCTAGCTGGACACCAAGCTGGGCCACCAAAAGCTAGGGAGTTAAGGTGAGCGGCCGTGGCCATGTCAGGTCCTTCCAGCCCTCTTGAGAATGAGGCATAGACTAGAAGGGAAGCAAGGGGTGACCGCAGTTCAGACTGGACAGAAAAGTGGCTGAAAGGCAAAGGATCCATGTGAGAGGACATGGGGAGAGAACATGAATTTGTCCTGTGTTAGACACATGTGCTGACTCCGTAACCCCCAAAATCCATCCACTAAAGTCCTAACCCACAGGACTTCAGAAGGCAGCCATTGGAGATGAGCCCTTTAATACAGTGATTAGTGCTGACTGATGCCATGGGGACCAATCCAGTCTTCCTGGCATCCTTCTAAGAGGAGATTAGGACACAGACTGGTACAGAGGGACAACCGCATGAGATCACAGGCGCAGAAAGCATCTACAGCCGAGGGAGACACAGCAGAAAGAAGCAGCCATGCAACACCCAGACCCGGCCTTCTATTCCCAGATTGAAGAACAGCCGCCTGCAGAAGAGTAAGCTCCCCACTGGTACTGAGTTATGCAGCCCCATGCAGACCAGGTTGTAGAAAGTGTCTGTCTCTCAGCCCCCAGCCCCGGTGTGCTGGGCTGCCGCCAACTGTTAGCACACTGCTCTAAGGGAAGGGGTATGGTGTAGACGTGTGGTCTTGTCCCTGCCAATAATTGGGGACCCAAGATCCAGGGGGCTGAGGGAGGCAGGAGTCAAGCAGAGTGGCACCAGACAGGGCCAGCACAGGTCTGGAAAAGTTGGAAGACATGGAACAGTGCTGGGCAGAAGCTGGGGTGGGGCGCTAGGTCACCCAGTGCCCGGGCTTTGAACTAGGAGTATGGGTTGGAGAGGGAGGTCTCCCCAAGCACTGACATTGAGGTTAGATGTATGAGGCACAGTCAAACGCTCTGTGGCCCCGAGAGTAGGGGAGAGAACAAGAAGGTGGGGTGCTAGGTACACAGATTGCTCACCACCAAGAGGTCTCTGGTGTCCAATGGAACCCCTGAAGCAGCAGCCTCAGGACTCATTTCCCTCAGAGCAAGCACCCAGAGGTGACCTTGAGAATGAAATTCTGAAAGGATGGAATTCCAGGGTTCTCTGGGCATTGAGAACCTTAGTCCCATCACAATGACCTGAAATTCCGAGGACAATCTCAACTTAGGCTCAGTTGTGAGCAGGAAGGCTGAGAGGCACACAGGACTCTTGGAGGACCTTTAGGGCCCCACCATGAAGATTCACAATGAAGCAGCTGTAGAAGCACAGATACAGGAGCTAAGGACCATCACTCGGCTCCAGGGTGAGCCACACTGGGAACTGCCACTCTGGCCTGCTAGTAGGCAGCTTGTCATCCTACAACCCACCCAGGCTCCCTTGGGCAAAAGTTCCAGAAGGGCCTGCCATGTGAGGGGGTGGGGGAGCTTTTGTCAGATTTGTGCATTTACTACAATCTTGTTCCAAAGTTGGAGGGACTGAGGAGAGATCGACCTGATTCTAGGCGCAGGAGCTGTGAAAGAGACAAGGGTTCCCCATCCATGGTCTCAGCCTCACCCTCTTTACTGCCCAGCATCCATCCCTGGAGAGCCTTGTAGATTACCATTTGAGCAGGGAAGCCCGTGTCTTCCAGGGAAGGGGAAAGAAATGGTCGTGGAGGCAATGCCGCATTCCATTAGCCTCTCTGGATGCTTTGCTGGAATTCTCAGCCAGTCCTTTAGCCTACCGTCTGGTAATCTTGTTCCCTCCATCACCTACAGAACAATGTCGGGCGCTCCAGATCCAGGGCGTGAAGGAGAAGACGGCACAGAACAAGGCTACACTAGGCCTCCTGCGCAGCAACCTCCGTCGAGGGGCCCAGGAGTGGGCTTTGGCTAAGAAGGTGCAAAAGCCCCACCCCCTTCGCAGTCTGGGGATAAGAAATGGCGGTTCACTTAACACGTGCATACACCCTACCCCTTTCTCTGTCCCAGAAGGGCTGTAGGGATGGGTACTTTTGTGACTGGTGTCCAGGGCAGGTTCCCCAATACCCACCCAGAGTGCTTAGTACCTGCAGGTTCTCCATAGTACCACGGGACTCCTTGGGCTCTCTGACCTCCTTTCCGGACCTCATCACACTGGAGCAGGGATGGCCCTAGAGGGGTCCTGTGCGCTCTGCTCAGGGGTCCCAGGACCAACGGTCTCCTTGCTGGATTAGCGGCGAGTAAGAGGCGCAGGGGGGGATATGTCTGAGTACATCAGTGCCCAGGGGCATGCAAAAGGGCCAGGCTCCTGGCTCAGCCACCACCGCTCCACAGTATGATCAGCGGACCATCTCCAAAGCCTGCGGGAAGGACGTGTCTATGAGGCTGGCACACCGCCGTTGTTCTATGGAGGTAACGAGGCAGAAATGACCCCTTGCCCCTTTCCGTCCCAGTCCCCGAGGCCCGCCTACAATAAATGTAACGAGGCCGGCGGGAAGGCGTAGTGAGTTCCCACCTCCTGCTCCCCGTGGGGCAGCCGCGGGTCCCTGACTTGCAGCCTTCCTGGGGTCCCCGCGGCGCTCCCTCTCGCACCCACGCGCGGGCGCCCTCCCTGACCCAGGTGGCTCGGGAGAAGCTGCGCAAGTACGTCTTCGACCGTGTGAATGCACACAACGTACTGATCCATCTGGCTCGTCTACGGGGACAGAAGCTGGAGAGCTTGCAGCTGGAGCTGGCCAGTCTTCGGAACCAGCCTGATGCCACGAAAGACGAGCTAAAGCTGCTGCAGGTGCCAGGGGACCCGGCGGGAGCAGCGGAGAGCATCCAACTTTGCGCTGGAGTTTTCCAGGAGAGGCGGGACTCAGCAAGCGGGATTCCGAAAGGGTGGTTCTATGCCAGAGGATGTGGAGAAGTCTGTATAGGGAAGAAGTCCCGCCTTCAGGCAGGGCCTCTGTATCAGGGCTGGATCGTTAATTAGGCAGGGTTCTGCGGGAAGGGCGTCTCCTTTGGTGAGGGTCTTTGTAAGAGAAAAAAAAAAAAAAAAAAAAACTTTAACAGGTGAGATTGGTCTCCAAAAGAAGGGTGGGACTACATCAGAAGGGTGGGATCTGCGGATGGGCAGGACCTTTTGGTTAGTTTGTGCCCTTACATGGCTGTGTACAAACAGGAAATTTTACTAACAAGGAGCAGGAAACCATGTCTTGAGGTATTGTTTTATCATACAGCTGTAAACAGGAAGTGGGAATCAAAGCCATTTTATACATGGTGACTGGGTGGATAAGATGTACACAAACTTCACCTGCAGGACCTGGTGCCAGGGGCAGAACTAAGGGAACCTGACACCCTGGTGTGAAAGCCCAGCCCTCCCCATCCCCCAGCCGGTGTCCTCCTCATCAGGGTTCTGCCCCTTCACACCTGATCTGAGGTTCTGGGGAGGTGGGTCTTGTTACCAAGCCTTTTCAGTGATCCAACTCCACCACTGCCATCAGATTATCCGCCAGCTGGAGAACAACATTGAAAAGACCACACTCAAGATCACCACCAGCCGGAACATCCACATGCTGTACTCAGACCTGCTGGACTACCTTAAGAGGGTGAGCCCCGCCCCCAAAGTGCCCCGCCTCCAATCTCTTCCTCGCAGCCTGCAAAGTGGCTCAAAAATGTGTGTGGGAACATTCCTTAGAGAACTTCATTTTTGTTGTTCCACGCAAACATATTATGGGGTACGCCTATTATTTGGGCTTTAAGCCTGGGCATGGTACCACAGGTCTGTGATCTCAGAACTCAAGAGGCTAAAACGGGAAGATTACATATTCCGGGACGGTCTGGGCTACATGGCGAGACCCTGTCTCAAAAACAGATGCAAATCATCACACACACACACACACACACACACACACACACACACACACCACATCACAAAAACCACAGAATTCTTTCACATACTAACTAGTTTAGTTTGGGTCTTTGAGGGTCAGAGATGAGTGATACTCCCTTCCCAAGGAGTCCCTTAACATGGTTCAGGACAGATTGCTTTTCCACATCCAAAAATATGCTGGACACACATCTCCCTGCCCTCTGTGGATCTGGCTACCTGCTTTCTGTATTGGAAGCCAGGAGGAAGCAGACTCTGGCCCCTGTATATCCCAGGGAACCATGACCGTGAATCTCACTGAGCACACTCCACAGTGGCTCCCATAGAGCATAGCATCTGCAGTGGAAGTGGGGGAGAAGGGGCTTCAGGGCAGCAGGCTATGGAAAGCAGCACGGTGGACTGGCCTGGAAAGGTGAACAGGAGGAATCCCTAATGCTTTTGCCCTTAGAAAGGGAGGTGAATGAGTGGCGTGGCTCGCTGGAGAAAGGGTTGGAATGTGGGCAAATGCAGAAGCTTTTCCCTGCTGGGGTCATGTTCCTGAGCCATCTCGGCGTCATGCTCTGGTCTGTCCCTCTTACCTGACCCTAGTGCTGGAGGCTCAACTGGAGGCCCTGCCCACCTTTCCTTCCTGTGTCCAGCCTTCCCCACACTCCTTCACCTGGGTAGTCTTTGTAGGACTTTTGCTCCAGAACAAACACACCTGAAACAAATCCCAATATCCACATTTTCTTTAAAATCAGCAAAGATTCGGCATGTACCGGTTTTAACAGCAAAATATCAAAAGCTAAGCTTCCTTGGCCATCGATGCACCTAGCCTTGTGCTAAATATGCTATCTTCTCCATCCACCCTGACAGAAACCTTCCAAAAAAGTCAGGATCACCCTAGAAAGGCTAGATGTGATCCCAAGATCACATCGCTAGCTGGTCAGAAGTGAACTTCACTTTGAGCTCTATCTGTCTCCAAGCCCATCTTTCAAGTCCCTCTGTTCCACTCCAGATCAAAGATGCCCGCAAGCAAACCCTCCTGGGTTTCAGAGTACCTTTGCTGGGGTCCAGCACTGAGTCATCACATCCTCTTGTCCTGGGTAGTGAGCGTCCATAGGCCACCAATGACTATCCACACTAGAACACTTCTTTCTCCTGGTTGCTCTGTGCCTTGCACAGAGGCTAGGCCACAGACAGAATCCCTATCCTGTCTCCAGGGCTCACATAGTCTGGGAATGAAGGATGGAAGGGAATCGGAAGGCTCAGGAAAGCCAGCAATAGGGTATGATGGCACCAGAGGAATCCATGGCTTCATGACCATGCTGCCTTTGCCCATCCTGATAGGTGCTGGCGGGCTACCCCACGGAGCTAGACAAGCTTCAGAACCTGGTAACCGACTACTGCTCGGAGCTGTCAGATATGACCGTCATGTCCCAAGATGCCATGATGATTACTGATGAGGTCAAGGTGAGTCCAAGGATTGGGGAACCATCAGTAGCTGGCTCACCTGATCCTGTCTTGTTCGGGACCTATCTGGACATCCTGTGCCTACACTACCCATCCTCACTGGAGAAATCCATTGTTAGCCCTACCAACTGATCTGCTCACCCATGGGACAGAGAAAGCCAATTTGGGCACAGTGGCCATAATAGAGGTGGCCAGGAAAGTGAGCATCTATTCACCTTGTCACTACCAAGATCCCTGTCTCAGGGCTGGAGAGACGACTTAGCGGCTAAGAGCACTGGCTACTCTTCCAGAGAGGTCCTGAGTTCAATTCTCAGCAACCACATGGTGGCTCACAACCATCTGTAATGATATCTGGTGCCCTCTTCTGGCCTGCAGGCAGACATGCAGACAGAACACTGTATACATAATAAATAAATAAATCTTTTCTTTAAAAAAAAAAAAATCACTGTCTCTAGGGAGACAGGACTAGGGAAGCCAGCAACTCCCATCCTCCTGAAGTGGGCAATTCGTCTAGTAGTCCACCACATCACATCTAGGTCAGTATGGCCGACAGAGGCAAAGGATTTCAGAAGTATCCAGGGTGGCTTTCCAAGGAAGTATGCTTGAATGGGCTCTGAAGGACCAGCAAAGTCCAGGGGTAATCAGAGCTCAAAAGGAGAAAGGACAGAAAAGCCAAGGCTGTTGCCACATATTAGTGCACAGAAATTTACGTGACTTCCCTGCAGGAATCACTGGAGGCTATAGGGTCTCACAGCCTCAGAGAAGATAAAGGACACATGATCAGACTGTGCTTTATGCTGGGTGTGGTACCACAGGCCTTTGATCCCAACACTTGGGAGGCAAAGTCGGGTTGATCCATGAGTTCGAAGCCAGCCTGGTCTACAGAGTGAGTTCCAGGACAGCCAGGGGCTACACAGGGAAACCCTGTCTTGGGAAACAAACAAACAAACAGAAAGATATCACAGATTGTGTTTATTTATAATGGCACACATTAACTGCAGGTGCCAGAAGGTGCGGGAGCAGAACTACTGGCTGTGTGGCCAGGCCAGCAGTAGAGTGGAGGTGGCCAGAAGCAGACTAAGGGGTGACCACAGTGAGCTTTGGTGATAGGAGCGGTGTGAGAGCAGGAGGGACGGAGGGAGGGAGGGGGGATGGCAGTTTTCAGCCTCAAAAGCAGAATGGAGGGGGGCTGGAGAGATGGCTCAGCAGTTAAGAGCATTGCCTGCTCTTCCAAAGGTCCTGAGTTCAATTCCCAGCAACCACATGGTGGTTCACAACCATCTGTAATGAGATCTGGTGCCCTCTTCTGGCCTGCAGACATACACACAGACAGAATATTGTATACATAATAAANGCGCCTGGGCTAGAGAGGAAAGTCAGTAGGCATGTGTTCACCACGAGTATCTGCACTACAGAGGCAAAGGGGCACCCAAGAGGACATTGAGAGCCAGAAAGAAGAAAAGAATGGCCAGTCTTCTATAGTCCAATAATATGAAGACTAAAATCTGGCCACTGGCTTTAGAACCCTGGGGGGACCCTTGGTGTGACAGTATCCCCACTGACTATGTCCCCAGAGGAACATGAGGCAAGGGGAGGCGACCTTCATCGAGGAGCGAAGGGCACGGGAAAACCGGCTGAACCAGCAAAAGAAGCTTATTGACAAGATCCACACCAAGGAGACCAGCGAGAAGTACCGCCGTGTACATCTTGAGCCACGCCCCGTGGGGGAAGAGCCGGGAGGACCCTTCATTTCTCGTTCTCACCTGCTTCTTTCTCCCATCAGGGCCGAAGGGACTTGGATTTCCCCTCCAATCTGATGAGTATGGATACCATGAAGGGTGAGCTTCAGCTCCTTGCCTTGTCCATCCAAGGTCACCAGTAGCCAGCAATGACTGGGACTGCCCAGCCATGTCATCATGAGACCAGTGGTCACTAGGGTGAGGAAGACAAACAGCCCCTGCCTCTCCCTGACTGTCCCTGAAGAATCTATGGCACAAGGTGGCTGCAGAGATGCTATCTCTAGCAACTAGAGCTCAGGTGCCCAGTGACATCAGAACCGCTTCCCAGAGCCACATGATGCCATGTTGCTCCTGGTCCTTGTCCTTGAGTTTCCCAAGGTACTCTGAAGGGTCAGGCTGAATAGGGCAGGTACAGGTACAGGTCACACGAGGGCACCTAACATCCTGGGTGTCTTCTCCGAAGCCAGAGTGTCTAAAGCCACCAGGTAGCCATTCCTGCATGCTGACTAGGCCCTCCCTTTCTGCTCTGCCCAGTGAGGAGAAAAGAAACTTCCATAGCAGATATGGAATACCAGACAGAAGTGACCACTTTGGTAGAGAGGGTCAAGTCTGCTGTACAGTGCTCTCACCTCTGGGTAAGTCTCCCTGACACCTGAAGGGTGACTAAGCTAGGCCAGAAAGTTTACAAAGCTTAATCTCCTCTTGCAGGCCCCCAAACGCAATGCTCCCAAGCCTGGAACAAGTCTGGGCTTTTCTGAGGCATACGGATGGCATGTCCTCACCATATTCTAGGCACAGGACAGAAATGGAAAAGAAATGAACGAAATGTATGTCCCGGCAGTGCTGAAGCCTGCACAGGCAGCCCGTATATGGCACTTCTGTTGAACTTGTCCATATTAGGGTTCACGGTCTAAGTTGATGAAGACGACTGACCAGTCTCTTCCTCAAAAGGGCACCAGATCTTATTACAGGCAGTTAGGAGTCACCATGTGGTTGCTGGGAATTGAACTCAGGGTCTTTGGAAGAGCAGGCAGTGCTCTTAATCTCTGAGTCATCTCTCCAGCCCCATGCATGGGACAGAGTCTGCTAGAATTTGAAAGTTCAAATGCTAAGGACATGAGCCCCTTCCCAACTTGACAGCCACAGCGAACTGGCCTCCTTTTGTCATAGAGCTACCTGAGTTACCATTGTCAGGCCTTGAGGTCCCATCCACAGCATCTTGACTGAAGGCGATACATGGTCTCTTCATGATAGATGGAGTTACTTACCCTCTGCCTGTCATGAGAGCTATGTATGTGTAAGGACATGTACAGGTTACCCTTCTACCCAGCCCCTCATAAACTGTAGCACTCAAAAGTATTCAGTGTCATAACTGAGCCCCAAGTACCACAAAGCTGCACTCTCCATCAGGAGGGGCCCAGGAGAAACCAGGGCTATGAGGCCCTACTGCCTTTCAGACCCACACCCGTTTCTCCCTGCCCTGGACTGCTTAGGACATAGCGGGCCGCTTCCTGGCTCAGAAGAACACAGAGGAGAACCTTGAGCTGCAGATGGAGGATTGTGAGGAGCGGCGGATGCAGTTGGAAGCCCTGATGAAGAAGCTGGAACTGGAAGAGGCACTGCTCAAATTCCACCAGACACCCAGCTCTGTTGGGTACGTTCCGGGGCTGCTGGATGGCCCCACAGGTACAAGTTAGTAGCTGCACATTCCTATAGCCAGTAAACCTGGGCATCCACAGAAAAGCTAAGGACCCACCTGCTTGAATCTGAATTTACAAACCCCTGAAGTTGACACACCTGGCTCAGGACTCCTGTGGACCCTGAGTACTATCTGTCCCGCCCTTACTGCTAAGCCTACCTCTTCCCCAGCTTTGATTCAATTGAAAAAAAGATGGAGAACATGCTAGAAGAGGAAGAAGCAAGGCTGCAGCTGGCCCACAGCAACATGACCAAGAGCCAGCAGCTGCTGCTGGCCATCCAGACAGGTATTGATAACCTCTACATCCGGCTCATCGGCATCACCTTGCCAGCCACCCAGGTACCAGCCCTCGCGGGGAGCTACTTGCATAAGGTCCTCATGTGGGGACACTAGAAAAACAAGCTGCCCCTCTGGCCTACAGAAAGAAGTAGCAATGTCGGACACCCTTGATGTGTATGGCAAGCTGGAGTACTGCGAGGGGAAGCTCATATATCTAGCTGAACGTGTGCAAATGCTGACCATAGATGAGGAGGTAGCCCCGGGCCATGGAAGGGTACCCACAAAACTCATGTCCTATCCAAGCTGATAAGGGTGCTGCCCTGCAGGTCGACACAAAGGTGAGGGATGCCCTGGAATCATCCACTCTAAATGAGAAACATAATACCAGGATTACCTTTGAGGACCAAGAGGAGGACATGATAGGTGAGGCCCTGGATGGGGGAAGAGGAACTAGACAGGGCCTGAACTCAAGGCAAGAGATGGCACACCTCAGTCTGACTGGAACATACTGGCAGACTGGGTGCTAAAGAGAAAGGTGTTAATTGAGGTGACAGAGGTTAACCTTTACGAGGATTTTTTTTTTTTTTTTGAGACAAAGGGGCATATCATGGAATGGGTCATAAAGACTATTAGTGGGATTCCTGTCGCAAAGACAGGGTAGGGTGATCCTGGCAAATCCTGGTTTCTTGGCACCTGGCCTTGGGTGACTTAGGGCAGGGGTCAGATCACAGAGTCTTCAGGCACTGGTCCATCTCTGAGAGAAGCTGCAGACACAGAAGGCCCATGGCAGCAAAAGCAAACGGGTAAAGAGAGGTCAGGGGGGTCTCTGGAAAGAGGGGGCCAGTCACTCCTTTTTTGCCTGTGCAGAAACCTTCCAGTTTGCCGACGTGGATCATAGCTACGTCCCTTCGCGGGCCGAGATAAAGAAACAGGGCCAGCGATTGATCGAGGGGAAGCTCAAGATGTCCAAAAAGAAGAAAAAGTAGCCCTGTCCGGGCTTTAGTATACAAATAAAAATTTTTCCATAACTACTCTAGGGAAATTAGAAACTGCCCCGGACTTTCAGGGCGGGGAGGCGGGGCTTGGACAGGGAGAAGAGGGGAGGGGCTGCTCGAAAGGGGCGGGATCTAGGGCGCCCACTGCGCATGCGGTGTCTACGTGTCCCACTTGGTGCTCCGTAGCCGCGCCGGCGCCAAGATGGCGGCGCTGACGGGTGCTTGGCCGCCGCGCCGAGGGCCGCGGGAGCCGGAGCGGAGCCACAGAGGCTGAGGCCTCAGAGCCTCGCTCCGGGCCGCTCCCGACGCGCGCCTGCTCCGGCCTCGGGGGAAGCCTGGGCCGACCGGACATGGTGCGAGGCGCGCTGCGCTGCTGCTGCTGCTGCTACCACTGCTGCCGCTGAGCTCGCGGGCCGCGCCCGGCTTGCACGTCCAGCAGGAAGATGTTCTCGGCATTGAAGAAGCTGGTGGGATCGGAGCAGGCCCCGGGCCGGGACAAGAACATCCCCGCCGGGCTGCAGTCCATGAACCAGGCGCTGCAGAGGCGCTTCGCTAAGGGGGTTCAGTACAACAGTGAGTGCGGGCCGCGCCGTCGGGCTGGCCGGGGCGGCTGGCGGTGCCCGGGACCGAAAGGGTCTGGGAGAACCCGAGGATCGGGGTGGACGGGGTCCCGGGGCTTTGCACAATGGTCACTCCTGGAGGGCAATCACCTGACAGGAGACCTCCAGAGAAGAGCTGTGCAGGGACACTGGCGGAGCTGCGGTGGAGGACCCCGATTGGCGCGGGGACCCTGCCGAAAGAGACCATTACATAACGCGAGGGTGGGCGCGCGGGGCTGGCTAGTGGCAGCGTGTCGCCTGCCTCCCCTGCGGACCCCCGCTCGTGCTCATCACACTCGAGGCTCCGGATCGGTCCGCTCAGGCCTTGAGTCGTGGGATTTTTGTTGTTGTTGTTCACTTCGAAGCTAATTGGCAAACAGTATCCACCACGCCACACATTCTCGCCCTTTTTTTTTTTTTTAACAAGGCTTTCATTAGAAAATATATATATATATATATATTTTAAAAGTTCAAAAGGCACTGACTGCATCCCTGGCCCCACAGGAAGAAAGGCCAGCTCTAGCCTTCGTTATAAATAATATATGCAGCTAGAAGACCGTCTTCTTGACCTCTTTAGAGTTTTTCCATCTGCAGGTTCTTCTCTATGCAGTCCCCTGGTCTGATATTGTTTACTTCTCAACTATTTGTATACTGCCTGGTTTTTGACGCACAGCCCCAACACCCCAACACACACCCACTGCTCACTTGAAGCGGTATCTTTTAGGGTCAGTGATATTTGAGTGATAATGTAACATTATAAAATGTATTAGGATTTGGAACGTGTTTAGAACCAAGCACTTGATAGGTGTTAACTTGAAAGTTTGTATTTCTCTTGAATGTACAGAAGCAAACATCATGTCGAAATACTCAGAGATCTGTGTTCTGTGTAATCTACATTTGGACTCCTTATTTATTAGACCTGAACTGGAAGTTTCTCACTTTCTAAACCTGCTCCCTTCTGGACCCGCCCCCTGGTGGTCCTGATAGGAGGGACCTAAAAGAGCTGGTCTTCCATAGTTTCCGAAGTATCTTACGTAGAGAAACGAACCAGCCATATAATAAATACAGATTCACAATTCATGTCAGAGGCACAGTTAACTTGACGCTTTCCAGGCTTCGAATTGTCTGTTACAGAATGCTGTCCTCCAAGGGCACAACCATCTTTTTTTCTTTTAAATGTGTCAGAATAATAAATAACTCGGCCAGGACATAGTGGCACACACCTTTAGTCCCATCATTTGGAAAGCAAGGACAGGTGGATTTCTGTAAATGTAAAGATGCCCTTCCTGGCGTACCTGTCAGTTCCAGGACAGCATGGACTATGCAGTATGACCCTGTCTCCCAAAAAATGCAATAGAAAAAGACAGCTCCAAGAATCCCAGCAGTTTAGGCCGGGCGGTGGTGGCGCACGCCTTTAATCCCAGCACTTGGGAGGCAGAGGCAGGTGGATCTCTGTGAGTTCGAGGCCAGCCTGGTCTATAAGAGCTAGTTCCAGGACAGGCACCAAAAACTTCAGAGAAACCCTGTCTCGAAAATCCAAAAAAAAAAAAAAAAAGAATCCCAGCATTTTAACACACCCACAGACCACCGTGTCATTGTGAGTTGTCTGAATTTTAAAACAAAAAGAGGAAACTGCAACCTGAGTAAAAAGACCATATTCTAAGAAAGAACACTGAACTGATGACCCACCTGGGAGTCCACGCACTTATGCCAGAATGCTGCTCAACTCACGCTCAGTGCCATTGACAACTTGCTGAGCAAATATCTTTGCAAAAGTAAATACTGAAGGGTATTCTTTAGATAAATGGAACTTAAGCTGAAAAGATAGCATGGGATTAAAAAAAAAAACAAAACAAAGAATGGGTCCATAAGTGGTGAGGCCTAAATAAGCAGTGATTGTATTAGTCACCAGGTCACCAGTAATAATGGTTTTTATGGGCAGTTGTGGTTTTTTTATTTTTGTTTTTGTTTTGTTTTTTTTACAACACTCAAATAGTTGGAGTCAGCCCCTAATGCAGAATGGAGTTGATCAGAGTTAATGCATTCACATATGGTGGGGGAAGGGTCCGAGACAAGATATTACTACGTAGCTTTGGCTGTCCTGAAACTCACTATGTAGACAAGGCTGGTCTTCAACTTGGGGAGACCCACCTGCCTTTACCTCCCAAATGCTGATATTAAAGGGGTACACTACTTCAGCTGGCGTGGCATTCAGAAAGTTGTTAACTTTAAACTATATTACAGTAGGTGTTAGTAGCAAAATGCAGGTTACAACTCTTCCATCTATACGCCAGGCAAAATGAGGAAAAGCTTTGCCAACTTAACAAAAGGCAAAGATGGCTAAGAGGCAACTACAATAGTAACTAAAAGAAAATACTATTTTAAAATGTATTTACTGGGGTAAATACATGCACGCCTTGGTGCACATGTGGCCGTCAGAGGACAGCTTGGAGTCCTGGGGATCACACTAGAGTTGTCAGGCTTGGTGGTGAGTGCCTCTACCTGCTGAGCCATCTCACCAGTCTTCCCCCCCCCCTTTTCTGTTACTAGAGAGTGAACCTAGGGTCCTGCTAAGCTAGTACACTGCTATTGCGCTGCGTCCCCGGCTCCTAAGAAATTACTCAATAACTCCACTTCCATTCGCATTCACAGTGCAGTGAAGACATTTGGGGGTAAATCCCATCGAATTGGGCCGTATGGTCTTTGAAAAATACATTTAGATTATAAGAGTAAAGATTTGGAATAAGAAGTTGGAAAAGGCTACTGGGTACCTCTGATTATAAGACTACCCACCTGTGGCCTGATCAGCTGTGGCTGCAGTGATGTCGTGTAATGCACACTTTGAGGTGAAGAGAATGGGTTGTAGGAAGGGTGGTGAGGGTCTGTATTCTATGTTTTTGTTTTGAAATAGAGCCTTACTATTCTGCGCACACTGTTAAACTTGAACGCTCAACTGGTCTTCCTATATCAGTATCCTGAGTAGCTGAGACTACAGGCATCTACTACACCCAACTCTTGGCTTCTTTTTGAAGCTTAAAAGCAGTTTATTTTCCTTTGCTATACATAGGACAATCAGCTTATAACCAGTAAAGGTTTAGCACTCAGGCAGCAGAGGCAGGCAGAACTCTGCCTGGTCTACTGTAGCTCTGCCAAGAGGGGAGGGGCATGTAGAGATTCCTCATGGCCAGTTGCTTTGAACCTGTGGCAGCACATCACTGGGAATTCGTGGTGGAGCAAGCCCCCTCAGCTTGTGGCAGTGGATATGTGCTGGAGGGAGAGAGCCCAAGTCCCACTATTGCCTTCAGGGGCATTGCCTCGCATCCCACATCTCTTTTTAATTTTTTTTAAACCTGTATGATGTGTGGTTTACATGCATGTATGTCTGGGCACCACATGCCACTTTAATGCCTATGGAACCCCAAAAAAGGAATCAGATCCCCTAGAACTGGAATTACAGGTATTTGTAAGCTGCCACATGGGTGCAGGGAATTGAAGCAGGGTCTTCTGGAAGAGGCTTTTAACTACTGAGCCATTATCTCTCCAGCCCCAGGTCTCATCATTTAACAAACTGGCTGAAGTTGGGGGGGATTTGAGATCCAGATGGCAACAGTTTACAGATAGTTTATGAGTCTGTGAAGAAATGACTTGGAAATCAGAAAGTACTTTCAGTGGATACGGTGCAGGCCTTTGATCCCAGCACTTGAAAGGCAGAGGCAGGTATGGTCTACTTAGCTAATTCCAGGCCAACCAAGAACTACTAGAGAGACTGTCTCAAGAGAAAAGAGGTGTGGGTCTGGACAGAGCTTGGTGGTTAAGACTGTTTTCCCGGAGAACCCAGGTTCAATACCCAGCACCCCCATGGCAGCTCATAATTGTTTATAACTCCAGTTCTAGGGGATCTGACACCTTCTCCTTAGGATCCTGCACACACTTGAGGCACACGAACTTCACAACCACACATACATACTCATCAAAGTAAAAGATTTTGTTTTTAAAGCAAAACACAAAGAATCTTTATCTAGGGCTGGAAAGATGCTCAGTGGTTAAGAGTGCTTGTTGCTTTTCAGTTGGACCCAAGAGAGACTTTATTGGAGCTTACAGTGGCAGCAGGCAGGTGAGCACTGGCTCTGAGAGCTTATATTGTATCCACAAGCAGCAGGCAGACTGGGCCTCCCACAGGCTTTTGAAGCCTCAAAGGCCAACCCCATTGACACGCCTCCTAATCCCCTAATCAGTCCACCAACTGTTGGACCACTCAAAATGTGTGCCTGTGGGGACCATTCTCATTCAAATCACCACAAAGTGTGTGTGTGGGGGGGGTGGTAGTAGCCAGGTGGGGTCAGGCACATCCCAGGAGTCCAGCTGAGCAATAGGGCCAAGGTGGCCTTGGCT